ATAAATAAATCTGACCGCTGATCTAATGAACAAGATTTTATTATGTATTATACTATGCATACTATTTTTATGTGATATTATTGGTAGTAATGCCTGCATACTGTTAAAATAGGGACGTTAACAGTATACTCATTGATACGCCCCCCCCCCTTCAAAAAAAAGCTTGCATTATAGTAGCTCGATGTAAATCATCTCAGCAAAAGTCGTTGAAAATGTAAGGCTACTAAACAGATTTACCTGTTGTAAATATTTTAAAATGGTTTAAATGTTTTTCTCTCTTGCACAACATAATGTATACCACACAACACTATCCACTAATCAGTCTCATAAATGTTTTATGAAATATATCTGAATACTCAGAATTAGCGTATAAACTGTAGCCATTTTGATATAACATCTGTTCTGAACGAGTCGATTCAAATTTTCGTTCTCATATGTAGGCTAACATACGGCTGCTTTAATTATAACGCATGATAGGGTATAGAAAAAATATCTACAAAAACGAAGATAACACCGATGATAAAAAGATAAAATAGAAAAACGCATAACAAATGAATTGAACCACCATCAGTTGACATATCTTCTTTTAAATAATTATTAGAATTTGTTATGATTATATATTCTATTATATATTCTGTCGCGTTCGAAAAACTCACCTAGTTTATGGTGCTCTACGGGTGTGGGCGCGTACGTCTACACCATCTTCACGCTAGTTACCTACTACACTAAGAAGACTAAGAAGAAGAAAAGCTAAATTGTCTGTGATCCGGTACGAGTTATCCTTTCTCCGGACTGCAGCGAGGCGGTGTGGCATCCCTAACAGGCAGCGTTACATACCTGCTCTGATGCCAGGCCATATGGTGGGCACGTCACTGGCAGGAGCCATCACATGAAAGCGGGTGATTGACATGCGCTCGCATTCGTAGAGATTGCCTTCCCGAGGGAAGAGGAGCCGCCATCTGTCGCTGCTGCTGCACACGCACCTCACTAAAGTGTACACGCTTGCATAGAAACTACACCCAAGTGCTCACAGATATTCTCAGATACACATGGCGCGAGGGAATGTGGTGAATCGGAATATTTGAAAACACTGTTTGTAGATTCAGCTTAATTATGTATTAATGAACAATTTCAAACCATGTACGTCGTGTGCGTGCATGATTTTTATAGCAGCCTACTTATAATCTTGTATGTTCGTCGATTTAGTTTCCAAAATATTTTTTTGTTGCAAGTTGTTTGTGTGTGTGTGTGATATGTATGTGGACAGATCTGGAGAAATTTTCAATCAAGTCTCATTGTTAAACATATTTGAATTTGTTTGTGACGGACTCATGTAAAGTACCTGATACCCTACAACGGAGTTCTGTCAGAAACCAAGTCAATAATGCCATTATAGTGACCTGCCCTGCTCAAACCGGGGTGTATTCCAGAAAGCTGGGGGTATTCCAAAAAGCAGGTTATGTGACATACCCGGGTATGTTTGAGGATAAGTGAGCGGATAACCTCAGTTTTCGGTTCCAAAATCGGAGGTTACTTTCAGGGTATGTAAGTAACCGTAGTAACTTGCTCTCTGAAGATAACCTGCTCCGGAGCAGGTTATGTTCCAGAGTTAGTTCACTTCAGAGCTATCAGTGCACTACTGACGAGCCTTCAGTGGGCGTGACAGATAGCGCACAACATTATATAATATTACAATATGTAATATAGCCTATTATATATATATATATATATATAAAAAAATAAAAATGATTGCACAACCATCAATTAGGTGGCGATATGCACTAAGCATGTAAACGACCATTGAACAAAAGAAGAAGAAAGAAACAGTATGGCACGCTTTTTCTTAGCGTCCGTTTCCATACTGACTCATCGATTCGTCACTCTGTTGAGAATGTCTTGAGTCTTAACCAGGAACATACTCTGAGTTGAATGAACTTACTCCCGGACGCGTTTTTGGAACCACATACCTCGAGTAAGCAAGGTTTGGGGTTAATCAACCGAAAGTTCAGGGTTTAGCTGACGGTAAGTTAACCGTGCTTTCTGGAATACACCCCTGGTTTTGTTGGAAACTCAGAGTTTGTTAACCCCAGAAAAGGGAAACAACAGGGTTTTCGGATCCAGTAAAAGACAAAACTAAACCTCTAGGTAAGTTACCATAGTAACTTACTCTGTGAACCTAACCTGGTCGGGAGCAGGTTTTCTTCGGTAAACCCAGAGTTTCTTCCGGGCTCCTCCCCCTTTTTTAAAGCGTAAGCAATGTTTAAATACCTCATTCATTCATTCACGCTGCAAAAATTGCTTCTATTGCTGAAATATTTGCCTTATTTCAAGTACAAATGTCTAAAAATTCTTAAATCATGATGCATTTTTTATATAAGAAAATAATATATTTGATATTTTGTCTTGTTTCCTGGGATAAACAAGTAAAATGAATTGCCAGTGGGGAAAGAAAAATAATCTTAATGAAAATGGAAACACAATTATTTTTCTCATCGGACCACTTTCATTTTCATTATGCACACATGGTAGATGTGACAAAAATGGCCTGTCTTTATTAGGGATCCTGTAGATGAGGAGGCTGCATTAATTCGCGGGGAGTTGCATTTACATCAGGAGAGGATTTAATTTAATTTGATCTAATTTATTTATTTTGCCATATCCACATGCATATTTATTTGAACAGTACCATTTTTAAATGGCGTTCACTTGATAACATCTTGTTGCGACCTCTAAGTAACCTAATAATTAGAATTTCCTTTAGAATTTCCAGTGTGGATGGATGCATGGTTTACACATATATTCTCACCATCGCACCTTCGCAAAATGAAGCTGATTACTGTATTGAATGGAAGGATGCCAGATGGAGGGGTAGTGCAAGATATATGCCGTAACCACCACCACAGCTGTTAAATAAACACAAATTATTCACAGTTTGTTTGGTCATCTTTATGTTCTACAAATACAAAAGCAACAAATTATTATTTTCCCTGTTGGATTTTAATATTGGTATTGTGGCCATCTCCTCTTCATCTGTCAGTGGTGCTGGTGCAGGTTCTCCTCCCATTTTACGAGTCTCTGTTTCATTACCCTACTAAAGAAATGTAGCATGTTGGATTAGAGAACATTTGATTATGTGAAAAAGCATTAGACTATGTGGGAAAAGCTGCTGCACATTGAAATAGATATACACTGAATGATATTTATTGAATGTCAAATATTTGTAAAGTCATGTAACGTTAGCCTACACCCATTTTACGCTTGAAGCTTTACCTGATTGAATTATGCTTTTATGTAAAAAATTTTTATGCTGCCACATTTGTTTTCTTTTCTTTTTTTTTTTTGATACCATGGGATACCATGAAAATTAATATTAGTTTCTATATTAATAGAAATACCTTTAGCTAATATTAATACCTTTCTGCCAGTTTTCACCTCTGATTGATTTAGAATTAAAGTTACATATTCTGTAGTATGCGGAAGTCTTTTTGGCGGAAGCTGTTGCCATGGTAAATCGTAATTTCGGAGCTCCATTGATCATGACTTTTCATAGTTGTGGTGCACACGCTAAACTCAGAGTCAACATACTCACAGTGGATTGAACTAACTCTGATCAGCTGTTCAGAAACCGAAAACTCAAGAGGTTCCCACCTCAGGGTAAGTCAACTCAGAGTTCAAGTTTTAACTTAGAGTTTGTTGAACCTCCTTTCTGGAATACACCCCCGGGTTGTGTTTCCCAAAATCATTGTAAGCTTAAGTAAGTCGTAGACCGATTGAACCCAATTGAGCTACGATCAACTTAGGTTTACGATGCTTTTTGGGTGCTGGAAACCTCCCTAAATCTGTAACCAAGCATGGGCTAAAACCCTGTGTAGGAATTTGACATTGTTATAAAGGGTTCAAGCTTTTTGAAAAATGTAAACAAAATCCTGAAACCCTATTGTTTTGTTATGATAATTTTTATGATTATTAGGGGTTCAATTAAGCATGAAACGCTGAAACCCTATTGCTTTTTTAAAATAAGAATTAAGATTTATTGTTATTAGGGGTTCAAGTGCTAACTCCCAAAAGTGTATGAGCATCAGATAGCGTAAATAGTGAAACCCCAAACTTGGCAGAATTTGCACAGCTACACAGACACACATCTGCCCACCACTAGGTGGTGCTATATAGTACTTGCATCTGTCCACATAAATATTAGGCTGTATGGCACCACCTAGTGTTAGGGAATGGAAAATATAATAGCCACGAAACCTGCTTTTAGCGACTTCACCTGAAAATTAAAGGGGTCATATGATGCGATTTCAAGTTTTCCTTTCTCTTTGGAGTGTTACAAGCTGATTGTGCATAGATAAGATCCCTGAAGTTGCAAAGACTAAAGTCTCAAAACCAAAGAGATATTCTTTATCAAAGATAAGACTCTGCCACGCCCCCCTAAAACGGCTCGTTCTAACACGCCCCCACATATCTACCTCACTATGTGGAAATATTTGCATAATGTGCCCAAATGTGCACGCAAAGAAAGAAGGCATGGTTTCAGTAACCGCAGTTAGTGTTGAAGCAGTATGTCAGGGAGACGCTGTGTTTCTAGGCGAAAGCAAAAGCACTTTATTTGGCCTTCCGAAAGTAGATGCATTTAGGAATCTTTAAGAACAGCAATGCATTTTATGGACGACCATTTCGTGAACCTAGGAGAGGAGGTAATTCTGACTTTGCTATGACAATCCGGCGCTTCTGAATCAGCTACTGTTTCGTTATTAGTTTAAGTATTTGCTATTGACTGTTCAAATGCAGAGTTTTGCGCATCGTGTGTGTGTGTGTGTGTGTGTGTGTGTGAGAGAGAGAGAGAGAGAGAGAGAGAGAGAGAGAGAGAGAGAGAGAGAGATATTTGAAAAATAATGTGTTTTTTGAACATTAAAGCATGTCAACATATTCTGTTACACCAAATACACAAAATAATGATCTTTAAAATAGCATCATATGACCCCTCTAATTAATTTGCAACACAGCCCAATAGTATGCTCCTGCACAACCGGAGGCTGCAGTTTCAGGACCGCAGTTCTAGGACCGCAGTTCTAGGACCCTATTCTTTTGTAACAGCGCCACCTACCGAATTGGATCACTAAAGATGGACGACATGGACAGCAATCAGAGTGAAAAACTTTACCAATTTTCAATTGTTTTATTTTATAACCTTAAAACGATGCAAAGTTTACGTAGCCAACATGAGAACTGCTAAGAAATAATTATGAATTGCCGATTGCTAGTTTTATTGATTACAATGTTCTTAATTCATGGCCATGATTTAATTAAGCTAAACCTTGTTGACATAATGACTACAATAAGTAAATCTAGCCATCACATTAATTAAACTTAAAAAGATGATAAAAGCATGTTGATGTGAGCTTACTGTTTAGTGTGAAAATTTGTTTGATACTCATTGTTTTAGCATATTAGTTAAGTATAAATCATCTTTCATAATTAAACTGGGCTCATTGCTTGGTTGCACCACAATATGTGTTATTAGCCTGTCCTTTTGGCAGTACTTTAGATTAATCTGGTTGATGTTTGAAAGGCATGGTCAGCGGTTTGCCTTCTGGACTGATGAGGCCAGAAACTTGCTCCAAGGAACTCTTCAGCCGCTGTACAGAGTGCTATCTCAGAGGAAATCCACATTCAGGCTGTCGATGACCACACTGCAGAGGTAAAGAGACTGTTGGACTTCATTGTAAAGTTACAGGTATCTGAGGAGCATTTAGTGGTACTTAAACAATGTTCACATTTAATCATCATTACAAACAAACTCATAGTAAACGTTCACCAAGGGCCTTAATTAGGAATAACATTAACAATATATTTTAACTATGCTGCAAATTATTGTATCTTTATCTTAAATGTATCAATTTCCTCAAAATTGTTTTTGCACCATGGTATGCCCATAGGGTATACTCAACGGGAAGCCCTCTAAGTGGTCTCATAAGCTAACCTCTTCCTGGGTGCCTGTCTACCTTGACAGTGAGGAACAACTGTCCTGTTTGCCTATCTGAGAGGAGTGCTGCATAGGACACCAACACAACTGAGCTTCACAGATGAAGTGCAGAGGTATGCAGGACCATGTAATATGTTTGTGAGTGTCCTGCTTCTGCACTTACAAAATCTACTGTATAAACTGCATGCTGGTGCTACTCGTGTATGAACCAATGTATAATGGCTTGCTGTTCAGTAGTGCTATAATAGTATACTTAAATTAACTGTTTCTTCATAGGCCATCATACAGTATATGCCCTGGCTGTCCTACAGAATTTCTCATTGCAGGAGGCTGAGCAGGTCTTCCTTTCTGGTTCGGATTATTATTACAGGTCAGAGTAGAATATGAATTATTTTTGCACAATGCCCAGTGCACCTTTTGTTACTGATATTTCTGTTAACCCAACAGTGATTGTTCTCTGATAACTATTTCAGTGAAGTGGAAGATTTTAATAGAAGGATTGACGGTAACACTTTCTATGAAGTCTGTATTTATAATACATTATAAGGTTATTCTTAAAGCATTATAAGGAATGAATAATGCATTATAAGAAACCTTATAATATGTTGCATCATCTTATAAATAATCGTAAGAACAGTTTTAATGTATTATAATACTTATTTGTGGTTAAGTGTATGATGATTTATAGCACACAATGAACAAATTGCATCCACTTAAGTTACAATGGATTATATTTCTCATAGTTATAATGTATTATAGGTCTCATATCTTGCCATTGTTTAAGATCTGCACAATAACTTAGTACATCTTATTTGTGTTTTTACTGTAAAATAACAAATACAAAGTCTTCATGAAAACATTCCAAAATGCTTTAATGTGGTCTTATTATTATTAAGTGCTCTTTGTCTGCTTTAAGTGAAGTAACTTCACTGTACTTAAAGCAAAGACCACTTATAAATAATAATAATAATAACACTTTTTCTCAAACAGCCATAAGATCTGATATCAGATCAGATGAATGTGTACACATTGGCTTTGAACTATTTTTATGGTAATATCAATTTGATTATTTTGATGGTAGCCTTTAGACAACTGTTGATAAGTAACTCTGCGACTACATGTCAACTAGCAGTCATTAGAGTATTAGTAGACTGTATGCTAAATATCTGCTAACACTTTTTTTGATGGTTCCCAACAGATATTCTACTCACTATAAGCAACTTTGCAAGCACATCAACTTATTCTACCAACCCTAACCTTAACTAAGCCTACTAATACTCTAAT